GTGCATGAAGTGAGCTAAACTGAGTAGGGCCATGACCAAACTCGAACGGCTCACGACTCGGCGAGGTCTTCGAGCGGAAGCGGAACTGGTTGACATGTTGTGACCAAAGTTCCAACCACGTGTTGCTGCAGCACGTCTTCTGGCATGCAGTATCGAGGATCAGGTGGTGGTTGAACATGGTGATGTTAGCACCAAAAACCTGGCGCAATCCCGATCCCAAGGGTCTCGATGGAGGCATCGTTGGTGATGAAGTGACCACATAGGTAAAGTAGGTGCCATAGGGGATTCCATCTTGTCGTTGGTGTCAGTGTTGAAGGTCACCGAACGATTGCATCCATCGGGATGAGCGACTGTCAAAAGCACCTTTTTCCCAGACCCCTTGGTCTTGGAATCATCTTTGCCCATTTTGGGCTTGCCATCACCTGAAGGAGCACCGGACTGAGGGCACTCTTTGTCACCTTGCCAATGGCCTTTTTGACCACAAACGGCACAGTGGCTTTCGGCTTTGCGTTGAGCAATGCTTTTGCCACCACCAGAAAACTTCCTGCCAAGGCGCATGCCTGAAAGTCGACGGGCTGTCACCGTCAGGCAGTGAGCTGCCAAATCGAGGTCCGACATGTCGGCGTCGGCCTCTGCTTCATCCTCACCATCGAGGTCGTGAGTTTCAGCTTCAAGCTCATCAGGCGGTTGTTCGCCTTCATCTTCACGCGTCTCTTCCATCGCGCCCTGCTCATCGTCAGCTTGGTCACCCTTGGGAACCTCAGTGAGATAGGAGGAGCGAACAAAGGTGTTGGAAGAGCTCGACTTGCTGGAGCTCTTGCCTTTATGCTTGCCTTTGCCCTTTGCCTTGCCTTGATCACGGACAGGTTGGTCAGTCCGCTCTCTAGGCGCTTTGGTGTGGGTCTCAAAGTCCCGGGTGTAGACCACAGCAGGAACTGCACGATGCTCAGGGAACTGTGTCTCGGCCGCCTCTTTCACATCCTGGTAGCGGATGGAGTTGGATGTAGCAACAAGGATCATCCTTTGGGCTTCAGCGCTCAAGCGCATTCGATCCAAGAGTCTGGAGCCGGCGGCCTCTTCATCGTACATGTGGTTGACATGTACTCCAACAGCTGCTAGGCTGCGTTCGCAGCGATGGTAGCGGTTCGTGAAGGAGCGAATGCTCTCGTTGGCACGCCGTGAGAGGCGTTCGAAGTCGTCCAGGAGCTTTCTCTTGAGGTATATGCCTTTCACCATCAAAGGAGCTCTGAGCGTCTCGAGGACGTACTCGATGCCCTGGGGATCATCGACCTTGTCGAGGTCGCAATGCTCGAGTTCTTCGGCGGCTTCGCCGCCGAGGTTCACGAAGAGGTACATGGAGGCCTCATTCGGGGGCAAATAGCTTCGAATCTGGCGGCGCCACAAAGCAAGCTTCCTCTCCCAGCGCTGAAAGGCTTGAAGGTCGCCTTTCTGAGCATCCCACGCCGGTGGCAAAGGAGGTGAGCCACCGCGATACTTCAGACCTGGTCCAGGTCCTTTGGTGATATCCCAAGGCTTTTCTTGTTGGGACTTGTTGTGGATGCCGTGCATGGACTTCAACATCTCGTCGTGCCAGCCAGCATTCTTCGAGCTTCCATGGTCGGATCCGGCTTTGAGCATGCCGTCACCTTTCCCTTTGCCGGCTTTGGACTTGCCAGCATCAACATCTTTGCCGGCTTTGGACTTGCCAGCGTCAGCTCCTTTGCCGGCTTTGGACTCGCCGGTCATGGGCATAGTTTGAGCAGCTTGTTCTTGGCTCGGGGGAGGATCATCTCGTGGTACCTTAGGAGAAAGACCTGGTAAAACAGGGGCTCTAAGTGGAGTGTGCGCAGGTTGTTGAGGGACATGTGAATCAGAGTCTCGTCCAGCTGCTTGCTTCCGAGCTTTCCTCTGCCTTCGTGAAGGCCTTGTCACAGGTTGCAACGTTGAGGGATCAACGCTCGGGTCATCAGTGGGAACTTCTGATTCAGCGGTCTCTCGGGCTTCATGTCCAACAGGTCGTGGATCGTCATGGCGTGTCTCGCCTTGGGGAGCATGTGGAGTATATGTCCACGAACCCAAGCCTGTATCATGGCTATGAGGAAGGTTGGCATCGTAGAAGTTCGGGCAACCACAATCCAAACAAACATAGCCCTCTCCATGCGTTCTCCATTGTGTGCTGTGGCAATTCCTACACAACCAAAGGGGAACATGCACAGAGCCGTCAGGTCGTTGGAGTTCGGGCATAGAGCTATTGCTCGTGTCCTGGTCAAAGCTCGTTGTCCGGGGCGTCCACTGCCAAGGGTGGTCATCATAGACCGGGTCAAATTCAAGGTCGCCCGGCGTCTCTTCAGAAGCGGCCTCATCGTCGTGGGCAAAAGGGAAGCCGTAGTCATCTTCAGGGTCATCCCATTGCCAATCGTACGAGGTCTCCTGGGACATGCCGAGCAGTGAAGCAAAGGGCGCAAGGCTCCGCGCCACCAACTCGCAGCAGTGCTTGCAAATGCACGCTGCAGCTCAAAAGGGGTAAAAAAGCATCTCAGCAAACCGCTCGATCGATCTTTTCCATGGCCAAGGGCGGTGCATGAAACAAGTGAAAAGGAAAGGCTCAAATGGCCATCTCGGGCCCATGCGACGAGTGGCAAAAGCTCAAAAGGCGGAAGGCTCAATTGGAGGGTACCGCATCCATTTCACAGTAGCTACCTCAGCCTACGGCCTAGAAGTAAATGACTGTTTGCAATCTGGCGCAAAGTAAACTTCTCTGCCAGCCGTCCTGCAAGCTTGCGTCCTTTGAGCCAGTTCCCAACACAAAGCGAGGCTTGGGCTTTGTTGCCTATGAAAAGCCCAATTGCAAATGTGGGATACAAAGGGGTGGCTGCAAGACTCAGGAAGCTCAGAACTATGGGGTTCAAAGCTAATCCTCTGCCTGCCGCACCCCTATGAGGAGGGTCGGCGAAAGGAAGATCGTCAGCCTTGGCGACTGAGGCATATTGCAGACTTGACCGGCTCATTGGTGCAGACAAGCAACACTAGAGGAGCCTTGGTGCAGTTGGGTGCACTCGTCCATTCAGCACACAGGGACGTAGAGACCAAGTGGCTGTTGGGAAGGTGTCAGCCAAGAAAAATGCAGCACCCAGAAGCCCAACAAGTGCAAAGGCAAGAATGCCTTCAAACAGAAATGCACCAAGGATCCACCAAGTCCAGAAACAGAATGAATGAGACCGGTCTCCTCGTCCTAACAAGCGGTCACCGTGGTACAAAGAGCAATACTCACCTGATCCAAAGCGAAATGGAGCGGAAGGCCGGTGAGCTCTACTTTCACTTCGCTTCAGCGTCGCAATGTACTTGTTATCTTTAGTGATATGTATGGAAAATATCGTTCCAACACTCCAGCTGAGAGTGGAGCCAGGCATATGAGGAGGCATGAAGAAATCCTGTGTCAAGCGACTGCGTTAAATCCGCCCACCACCCGAGCACAGCAAAGCACGGTGGTTTCTGGCTCTCCAGCACCACAGTTTGGGGGTTGATAATGGTTGATATTTTACATTCTGCTGCTCTCGGGTTAGTTAAAGAAAGAAACACTGCATCTTTGACAGTAATTATTGATCGGAAGAGTTCTGAGGCAAAATCCAGCCCACATAGCGGTTCTAGTTCTTTATCTCTACCACCACCAACCTGTGGCTTCTCTTATCTGACTTCAGCCAAGCCACCAGCAAATACAAGGCGAGAAGCAGAAGCCTACAAAAAATGAGTTACGAATGCACAAATCTGCACAAATACGCTGCTCAGCAGTGCAGCTGAGGAACAAAGAGATGCCAGCACAAAGAAGCGCAAGCATCTTGTGCCTCTGCAAAAACATCAGACCTCAGTAAGGTAAATGCAAGCGAAGAGACAGTGCCTGGCAGTGCCTCGCAAGACCTTAATAAACGCAATACAAACGGTAACATCGGCAAAACGCACTCTTCAAATTGGGCTTCCCAAACACGGTTCGCCACAGCCCATCTCAGACCACCTGGGTGTCAATCAACTTTGGCAAAGTAGAGACCTCCAAGTACAATGGTAATTATGTAATTGTCTTTCAATGCTCACAAAACAGATTGACCAATTTTCTATACCCCCACGGTTCAAACTGTCCCCATTTAAGTCTGCCGTTTTCGTCAAAGTGTGGGTTGAAACGCTCTTGCAGGCCGAGAAACAGTCCAACGGATAATGCTGAGACTGAGAAAGCCAGTAGCGTACAAAGAAACAAAGATCCGCGAAATCCGAGCCTGGCATTCTCCGTCCGCTGACGCTTTCACCAAAAACATCAAAAGCGTCAGCGGTGCGTTTCAAACGGTCGACGTGTTGCATTACAAAGAGCTTGATGCCTCGCAGCATCCCGCGATGCTGTGATGTCAAAAATTGCGGATTCTGGGTCCTGAAGTGTGGAAACCGCATGAGCTCACAAATGGCTTACAAAGCTTGATGACACGGTTTCCACTCTGAAAAAGGGATTACCATTGAAAGATTACTCTCAAGGCGAGTGCGGGTCAACACAAGAAAAGTGAGAGGATGCAGAGAATGCCTCTCCTGCATTGCATCCTCCATAGAGAGATCTGTGACGTTGTGGGTGACTGTCTTCTGTACATGTTCAACAGACAGCCACGACCTCACTCGTTCCATTGACCTGAGCACCCAGAATCAAGAAACATCCACGAACAAAAATCCCTTCGAGACCTCTGAAAGCTTAGAAAGGCCAAGAAGCACCAAAGGCTGCAGCAGCACTTAACGAATTAGACGCTTCTGGCTTTTGTATTTGCACTGTGACTACTTGCAAAAGTTGGATTTGGACGGGACCTTCTAGCAGGCAAAGTGTAACTGTTTGTTTAACTCATGACTCTAAGACGACCATAGTTTCAAGAGCAACCGACAATATGTTCAACTTGTTTTTTGAACTACAAGCTCTGACCGTGACCGTGCAGAAAGCCAAAATGTCAGCGAATGGGCAAAACCGTGATGCAATGTTATCCCGGATGGTTTCCTTGCATCATCTTCCTATGGCAGAAGTGGTGAAGGGCAAACACCAAAGCTCTGGGGCCAAACATGTGCACCTTGTTCTTGTCCCGCCGTGGCTCTGTCTTAGAGCCACCTGCCAAACAGCGAGAAAAGCGCCAAAAATCCTCCGAACCGAACAGCCCATCTTGACGCACCTGCAGCTTGAAGACCATCCTGACAGAAACTCAGCTTGAAAGTGTCCTCGAAATCAAGAAAAGGAGGCTCCAACTTCGATGCAAGTGTAGAGACCTTCCATGGTCTTTTCCTCAAGCATTGAGAAAAACAGCAAGAGTCGAAAGTGCTTACGTTGTTGGATGTCTTTTGACAAGGTTGATTTGTCTGAGACAAGGTCCCACTCTCTTCGTTGCTGCCGACGCAAAGAGAAGCCCTTAGAGTTCCGTCTCGAATGGAATCCTCTCCGAAGGTCGAACAAACTCCACCCAGGAATGTGCTGAGATGGCTAGAACCAGAGCATTTGCCACCAAGAAGTACAGGACCTGTGCAAATCCAGACGAGTTGAAGTGTTGAAAGCACAACACAGAACTGGGTGGGAACCCCAAAAAAGACACGTCCGTGTCGTCAAAACTAAATGGTCGGCCTCCAAAGACCCTTCATCTCCGTCCCCGCCAAAATGAAAGAGACGTGGAGGGCTGGATGCAGTGGATGTAGAACCTGACTGGCGACCACTTGGCGCAGCTGGTGCCTGCCATAGCTGCAGCTCTTCCATTGCTTTCTTGCCGTTTGGTTCATCTTCCGAAGCTGCGACAGGCATGCTCCGCGCGTCTCCGCGCAACCCGCTAGAATTCCCAGCTTCGGGGCACCTCGGGGCTTGCACAGCTTCGCCAGAAGAGACCAGCACCTGGCATCAGTGTGCTGTGTCAAGTGGAAGTGTCGGTTTCTTCCCTTCACAACGTGCTTTCGTATTCCATCTGCATTCAAGGCGCTTGGGCTCTGAATGGAAATATTGGCGAAGCTGTTGTTGGAAGACCAGAAAGTCCTTTATGAAAGAAATCTGGTGAATGATTGCTGTGAAGATCGCGGTGATTGCCTGTATCCCGAAAGGCAATAAGGCAGGTAAGATGATGCCCCTTGGCAACGAGTACAAATCACCTCTCAAGACATCGGCAAAGTTCGGTCAAAAAAAAACGATCAAAACGGCCGGAGTGTTGGCCCTGCGCCTTCTGACGTTGCCCACTGCCACAAGGAGGCAGTGTCATCTCTAGGTCGTTGCCTTTGCGCGCTGGGGCGCGCCGCTTGCGCAGTGCTCTCCTGGTACCCACACTGCTAGGGCACACTTAGAGGTTGCGGCATGGCTCGCACGAGCCATCATCGACACAACGGTCGTAGCCTGTCCAGCCCAGCAGCTTACTTGTGCCAAAAAATACTGCTGATTCACACTGATTGTCTGCCAGAAAGAAAACTTATGAGCCTAAGCCATGCATCAACTCATCAATGTCGTTCACCCGTGCAAGGTCACACCTGACACAAGGGCTCTTTTTGAACTGTTCCTTTTTTTTGAAAAAGATGTCATAAGCACTTTGAGAGAGCAAATTCCCTGTAAATAACAATCCAAAAAGGATTGTCTTTATATAGACAATTGAAGCTTTATCATCGGTTTTGGCGATTCAATGACAGAGACATTGTAACATTAGACTCTGAATGTTTACCTTCAACACTCATCAAGTTCTCAGCACTTCCTTGCGAATAGCGGTGCAAACCCTAAACCCTGATTGGTGGGAGGGGCGAACCTTGTGTTCTATGCGTCCTGGCACCAAAGTTACACTGGTAGGAAAAAGAATCAACTGAGTCTCACACGCACAGCCAGCACAGCATGTTTCACCTACTTCAAAGAAACAGTACTTCTCTCAAACATCTTCAACTCTATGCGGCTTCATCTCTATGGCGTTCGATGGACTCGCCTTGCTCAATGTTTAACAAATGTAATGTGTGTCAACTGTTCACGGAATGTTGGAACTGCTGCAAGAAAGGCTGTTCCAACGAACCGACCTGGTGCTCCTTCTGGAAGAATCCCGGCACCTGCAAGAATACTGCGTTCATGACTGCACTCATCATAGGAAACAATCCCAAAAATCAACAAAAAGGCCTCGCCACGGAAAACTGAACCACAAGAACCTCAACAGTAACTACATGTGAACGTGTCTGTTGGGTGCAACTTGCCGATTGATTCACGGAATATGTTGCATCCAAAGTGCACTTTCGAAGGGATCATTAAAGCACTTCCAGGCCATTGCTCCGCAACCTTTTTGGTGAGTGGTTGGTTTTCACTTAGAAATCTTGTTCATTGCTCTGCAACAGACTTGGTTGCTACTCAGCTACTCATGAGGTTAGATCAACGACTGGATTAAATTCGGATAATTTTGTGCGTGGGTGGCTAGTTGATTCATGTTCCCTAGCCAATCTTACATGAAGTTTGCGAGTTGGTTCAACTTGAAGCAGGCAAGTTCATTCGTTGCAAGGTCCACCAAGGCAAGTATTGATTTCTACAAAAAAAACGTGCAGCATGCAAATGGAAGATTGCAACTTGCACATTTTGACACAAAGCAAGAAGGCTCTGAAATCAGTCTGCAAAGGTTGTTCAAAAATTCAACAACGTCTTCATTTGCAGTGCCATGGCCATGTCGGCAACGCTCTTAAATGCATCAATTATTTCCGTGCAGCAAAGCAACTGCGCATCATTGAATATGAATGTCAAAAACAACGCAAAATCATTCGGGAAAATCACCTCAATGACCTTGTGGGTTGGCATGACATGTGTTTTCAAGGTGAGATTCCATCAAAAACACCAATGGTGTTTATCTTTTGGAAATTATGTTCAGAATGATGTTTGAGACATCTGACTAGCAAACAACGTTTTTACTTGGTTCACTGCCAAAATAACGTAATAAGGTTGGCCAGTTGGCCCCCAGTTCTCGGTGTTTTGGATGTTGGTTTGGCAACAGCCTTTTCACTGGAACAGGTAGGGTTGCTTGCATCGGGCATCATTTCCAATCCCACATTTTCCTTCTTCATTCGCTTGGTTTCCTTGTGTGTCCTGTCTTGATTTTTGGAAACTGCCGAGCTCACTTTGAATTCCACCATTGCGGACATTGCCAAGGGAAACAAAAGTTTCAACTTAGGCAGTGTTTCAAAGATGGTTCAAGAACTTCACAGGCGCATCGGAGCGCGTGAAGGCAACGATATGGACTTGTAGAGCGGTTGCCCCTCAAGTCACCCCCCGGTGACGCAGGTCACCACCCCCGGTGACGTAGGTCATCTCCTTAGGTGATTTGGATTTTGAAAACTCAGAAACACAAGCTAAAATAGAGGTGTTCGGGGGTCAGGCACAAACCACGAAGCAAGTCACCAACCCCAGTGACATGACTATAGGGGGGCAACCATCCAGTCCAGCACATGCCATCGGCACCACGGATTGAAAAAGGAGATAGGGATGGTAAAAAGAGCAGAGGTGGTCACCCGTGTGGTCGCCCTCTTGCGTCTCCTTCAAATACCAGCCCCATTCACCTCCCTGCAGAGGAGAAGACGAGGCGAAATAGATGGGGATCAAGCTTGCCAACCGTCTCAGCAGCCCCTCCTCACGGAGTAGACCCAGACAGCAAACCCTCTTGCAGTCCCACCAGCCCGGCGGAGCCGGAAAGCAGGACAACAATGGAGGATCCCGCCCCCCCAAGCAGCTGCACGGCCCAAGATGCATGGGCCCCTTGCAGTCAAGTCCAAAGCGGTGAAACCGCCTGCAGAACCGCAGGAAAGGGCCCCGGAACAAGGTATAATCGATGCACTCCAGTCTCGGCTGCACACACCGCCAATGCCTGCTACAGGCCTGCTGAGCATCGCTGCGGCCAGGCCGCCCACAACTGGTGCTGCAAACCCACAAATGCCAGGGGCAACTACTGAGGACCCAGGCGTACGCACATCAACTAAGGAGGAAGTCACTACTCAGGAAATCTACCTCCAGGAGGCGGATGACCAGTCGGGACCAGTCGATGCTGACATCACCCATCTAGCAGAGCAGAGAGCGATGCAAGTGGTACTTCGGGACCAAATGCTGTCAGTCGAACGCATGACCCAAACAAGTCCCTGCACTGCAGAGCCACCCACAGCGCCTCCAGTCAGCCTGTATGCTAACTTGCCGCAAGAGTGGCCCCTAGCGCGCCTCAGTGTGCAGCTGCGCCATATAGGGGTGTTGCTGAGGGTTACCCTCTACCGTCGAGCCGCTGAACTCAATTTTCGCGGGGTTAACTTTCAGCACCTACCGCGCGAAGTTATGAGAAGCATCTGCTATGACTTTAATCGCATCGGTGGGGAATTGGCCAGACGGCTCGCGTCGCTTTTTGCATTCCTCAAACCAGCTGCGTGTACTGACACAAATGCAGACCGCCTAGGACTGTCGCTATATGCTGAACCGGCCTACTGGCTCTACGGTCTCCTGTCCTTTTGTGCCAAGGCCTGTGAATCCAAAATTGAGGACGCAAATGGGGCCCCGGTCCTAAGAGCAAAGGATGAGGGAGGGGCGCCAGACACCGAAGCCACTGGCCGGACCTTAGCACTAATGCAGACAGTGGTGATGTCCTTTGGACGGAATCAAAGCCTAGGCAAGCCGGACCTCCCCATCCACCACCTGCATGTCTACTTCCCAGTCCAACTCGTTCACAAACTAGTGGAACGAATGAAAACAGACCTGCAGTTCACAGAGGCCACTCCAGAGGATGATAACAAGTACAAGCACAACAGCGAAAGCGAAACCGACAGCCCATACATTGTAGTGAGCACATTTGAAGGCTCGTGTCCCTCTAATACTTTTGCGGGCCTTCCAGACACACCAAGTCTCGCAGGGGCATACGAGCAAGGACTCTTAGATGGCAATTTGGGTCAAATGGCATCTTTTCAGTCCACCTACAAAAGCACCCTGCGAATTGAAGTACCAGTATGGCCAGAAATACGGCAAGCGGCGCTACCCCCCCGCCCAGGCCCAGCGCCTGTTGGAGCCTGTGGGGGCCATCCCTTCCGCTCCCCCGAAAAGGGATCACAGCGGAAACGCAGCGCCTGCTTCACAAACGCAAGCGCAAGACCACATGACCGCATGACCGCAGAGCCTGTCGATGCAATGGATGCCGATGAGGGAGCAGAGGAGGAAGAGGATGAGAAGTTTGTAGCGCCGGAGGGACAAGGATGCTTCTCCTTTCGGCAAAGTCTCTTGCTCAGAGCCAAGGACACATATGCTGCCAGGTGTACGGGCAACAAGTATGAGGTCATCTCCAAATGGCTCCTCACGGGACTGGCGGTAGTCTTCTCAAGACCGAACTGGCAGTTTCTAGCCAAAAGAGGTACTTTGACTGCCACCCCTCAACACCTCCTTAGAAGCTATTATCGACGAGGATACCAGGCGGGTCTTGTGGACAAAAAGTTAATGCCTTATGTGTTTCCGTGGCACAATGCCATATCGGAGGCTGAATGGCAGCGCAGGGTCCGTTGGTACTGTCATTCACGATACGTGCATGACATGGATGCCCTGTATGCTGAGCGTGCAGAGTTGAAGTTTGATGCATTTTACAGAACAATGGACCTCACGAACCCCATCAAAGCTATGCAATACGACCAAACAAACAACGAACAAGCAAGACAAGCAGAACCAGCAGAACAAGCTACACAGGACGAACAAGCTGAGCAAACAACCGTACCAACTCAACGAACAATAACGGGGCCAAGTGCCCTGGCGGACCCCCACCCTGCTGACAGTGTCACGACAGCCAAAACTCGCTCGCAGTGTATGGACAGACAGGCATCTGTGGCTGCCACTGGCTCAAACCAGTGACTGATCACCACACAACGCGTCGTGCGGGTACTTACTGCCTCATGGACAGCACAGACTGTGACGCAGATGATGCTGCAGGCATCGGCCACTGCCCATTGAGGCTATACACCTTAGCAGGAAAAAAAATCGAAACTATAGTGCCTATTAGCATTTACCATCATTGGGAAATGCTAGAAGACTATTTGGTAGAACTGCTTGCCAGAAACTTTGACCTTGACACCTTTGGTTGTGAGTTAAAACTCATAGCAGAAGATACCCGGAGCCCCCTCAGTGACCCTATCCATGAGGAGCTCTGGGAGAACAAGGGGTTTCAATTGGTCATCCATAAAAGCTTCAGGCAAGTGCGCTCTAAAGAGCAGATACGCCGAGACAATTATGAAGACCACCCCAAGGCTATCTGGGTCCCTGCCAATGAATCAGGCATCCTCCCAGCTAAAGCTTTCTTTGCCCTTGCCAGACTTCGACACGTGCAAGTCGAAGCGGGCTATCACACCATAGAGCGACAGGTGTGGCGCTACTGCCACACCCTCACTATTGTCAAACTACCTAGCTCTGTGAGAACCATAGCGAACGCTGCATTCCAAGGGTGCTACGCGCTAACAACAGTGATGATGCCAGGGTGTTTATCCCTAGGAGCCAGACTCTTTGCAGAATGTTGTGCCCTTGAACAGGTAGGAGTCCTCACAGGAAACTCCTGCCGACTAGCCAGGGGTGCTACCATCTCCCCCTATGCGTTTGAAGGCTGTGGAAGACTTAAGCAAATAGGTCTCCCATGGACCAAAGCCATCACTGATGTGCGGGCTGCAACATCCCCCCCAGAAGGATTGCCAACAGGGTGCTTCTATTCGGCCGGCATCCAAATGATAAACATCACGTACTCAACCGAGTACATCGGGCACAAGGCCTTTGCACAATGTCAGCAACTGACTGCGATTGACCTGTCACACACACAAGTGGGCATCATAAATGTGCAAGTGTTCTTCAATTGCCGATCCTTGACGCAGATCATCTTACCAAAGCGCCTCACTGAGATTCGCGCTGAGGCGTTTGAAGCCTGTATTGTGCTGTGTACGGTAGCGCTTCCACAACAGCTCCACAGCATTGGGCACAGAGCTTTTGCAGGGTGTAGCAAACTAGTATGCCTCACCTATCGCAGCGCCGAGGCCGACAGGCGCCGTCTACAAGTAGCAGCCAATGCTTTCGAGGTGTCAGGCACCAACCATCCCCGGAGGAATCTGCTATTTATCAGTACGGGGTAGCTAACACACCCAAAAACACTTACATTGGGAGTCTCAAGAAGACG